GGCTGGGATGCACCCTAAGGAACACACCAGTTGAGAATTTGCAAAGTGGCACCAACTGCCCCTCCCTATCCTCATCATGCCCTGTCCCTGGCCTGACACGCCCCCTATGCTGGGGGTCGTTCACCCCAGCTGAGAGTGTCCTTCGGCCTCATCCTGGTCGCTGGTAGTAGGAGAACAGCTTATGCCCCGAAGCAGCTTTTATATCCCTCCTACGTGTGTTGTCATTGACTACGGTGACTCTGGATGGTCTCGCTGTCCATAGAAATGTCCAGTCCCTTTTGGAATCTTGCTAAGTTCTTGGCCCCAGCGACTTCCTGTGGCAGGGAGTTCCGCAGAGTAATGATGTCATGTGGAAAAGCATTTCCTTTGGTCAGTTGTTATCACTCTTCCAGAGCCTGACTGCAGAAGGGCCAGCGTCCAGCAGGTTGCAGGAGCTTGCTCGGCTGCAGAGCTCTCTTTACGCGACCCAGGCAAGATGCTGGAATTGAAGGTTTGGTCCCGACGCACACAGCACGACTGTTCACTTCAGGGCCCGCAGGCCCAGGCTTGAGATCGGGGCTAAAACCCATGGGAAGGTGCTGCTGGTGTAACAGCTGGAGCTGGAGGCTCGCTTGGCCTAACCAGAAGGAAAGAAGAGAGTGTGAAGAGCTGAGCATGGAGAGACCAGGTAGCATTGCTGTGTGGTGTTAAAGGGGCTGTGCTCCACCCCAGAACCAGCAGTCTTTCAAGCAGTACAATACAGTGGATCTGTGTTGAGCCCTTTGGAATGACACCCCTTTCTCTAGGCCACTCTGCGCCCTTGATTTATAAGGGGTCCTTCACCACCAGCTTGCTCTGAAATAGCCCCTCTGGCAGGGTCTCTGGGGCCCGTCTACACGCCCTGGCCTGTGTGGAAGGAGGGGGTACGTGTGCTGGAGGAGACGAGGGGAGGACGAGGGGAGGACGCTGGGTTTATTCCTGCTTGCGCCATTGTCTTTTCACTGGCTGGGAGCCAAGGATGACCCCACGCTGCCTTGGGAGCTGCAGGGGCTGAGTAAGTGCCCCGCCAGCTCGCAGGGCCCTGCATCCTGGAGATTAGCCGCCCCAGCCTCTCCCGGCAGCCAGCAGGAAAGAGCCCAAGACGGGGCCACTCCCCTGCCTGCGGCTGGCCAGAGAGCCAAGTGCAGATCCCAGCTGCTGAGCCGGCCTCCCTGCTGCCTCACCCCACCCCCTGCTGGAGCCTGCCCGGCCCCTCCGGCGGGGTGGGGGGAAGGCGCGAGGGCCCTGGCTCCTGAGGGCATCGTGGCCCAGTACAGTGCAAGGAGGCAGGAGCTCTCTCAGTGCCTAGGGACCCTGGGACTGGGGCTCTCAATGCCGCAGCCCTCAGAGTCCCCTGCACTGGCCGCACCGGACAGCGAGGCCCAGGGGGACGTAGCAAGGCAGGTCTGCTGCGCCAGGGCGGTGGCTACGTGGGGAAGTGCTGGAGGGCAAACTCAGGGGCTAGAGGGAAGGGCCCCGGACCGGGGGGGCTCTGGCTTGAGTCTACAGGGGAGGGGCTTTCTCTAGCCACAGATGTGGGATTAAGCTGCTCACAGCCCCCTCCCCCCCCCCGGCAATGTGGCTTTCGGGGTTACGCTCGGCCGCTCTCTCAGCATCACAGGATGGGCTACTGATTAGCACCACCAGCTGGCCCCAGAGCTCCTGGGCTACATTCCTGGGTCTCCTCTTGCCTCACTCTGTGACCTTGGCTAATCCATTAGCCGGCTGGTAATAGCCCGGAAGCCTGGGGCAGCCCTTCCAAGGGCACATCCCCCGTGGCTCTGTGTTCCATACTGAAGGCCCTTTGCCCCTCAGCTGGGTGTTAAAGGTCGGGCACTGCTTCTCCTGGGTCTCTGTGAGGACTGAATGGAGGCTGCCTGGCCTTAGGAGCTTGTGATTAAATACAAAGAATTAGGGCTGATTTCTTTTCCCCAAGGCATTTTGACATTTACAAGCCAGTACAGGTGTGGCCAATTGCCCTGAGGTGGCCTCTTGTTACCCCGTTATATGTTGTTTTATGGCACCCGCATTTTCCTTTAAAACATTTTTTATACCCACAAAAGTTTCCAAGGAGCGACAGATCCCAATGCCAGACTAACCAAAGATGTTCTCGGCACAGCTCCACCTCCACGCAAACTGGGATACAGGTGCAAGTTAGATCATCAGTTGCAACAAGGAATCAGTGTCCCACTGGGCGAGAGATTCATTATGTTACTAAAGAAAGTGTTATAATCAGCAGTAAGGGGAAGCGATGGGAGAGGTACATTGAGGCAAAATGTCTCTAAAAATTAGAACTGGCTGAACAATTTTTGATGGAGCAGTTTTTCCATTAGGAAACACCAATTCAATGTGAGAAAGTTTCACAGCAACATATCAATTTGATCAACATTTTCAAAAGGAAATATTGAAAACAAAGCATTTTGACAAGATCCAAATGTTTCGTTTTTGACTTCTATGTTATATAATATAATTAATTACAATCAATTAACTGTCAAAATGTTTGACCTTTAATATTATGTTATAAAATATAAATAACATAAAAGTCAAAAGAAAATGTTTTGATCTTACTGAAATGAATGTTTCAATCAGGTCATTTCCATGTTTCCAAGACTAAATATTTTGGAATTTTCATTTCATGGTAAATTTCAACTTTTTGTTCTGATTTGGGACAAAGGAAAATTCAGAAATAATGGAATTTCTGTGGAAGGGGAGCTCTGTTTTCCGACCCGCTGTATGAACGAGGCGTATGGATGAGCTCCTGAGGGTACTGGGAGAAGCCCCATTTAAAACCAGACGAGATGCTGGTAATTGCAGTAGGGGACCCTCCTGAGCTGGCGGATGAACTAGATGCGACCTAATGGGCATTTTACATCTGTAACTTGAAAGATCTTTTATCTATTCCCAGGTGCTTCCAGCGAGGGCAAATCCAGCCCCGTCTAGGTCTCGGTGCTACCACACAACAAACACTATATATGAATAGTCTCCACTACAAAGGTATGGGGGTGTAACTACGCTGTGATCTAACCTCCGGTGTAGACAGCGCTATGTTAATGGGAGGGCTTCTCCCATCGCCATAGCTACTGTCTCTCTTCAGCATAGGTAGCGTCTTCACTAAGCACTACAGGAACACAATTGCATCAGTGCAGCGCTGCAGGTGTAGACACATCAGGCTAGCCCTTGTGAACACATGGTGAGATAATCAATCCTGGAGCTGCTAGACTGAAATACTATCTGAGCAACCTCCCACCTCCAGGGTGTGACCGCTGAGAGGGCGTTTCAGGGAGAGGCGGGTTAGAATGATCTCCTCTCTGACCTTCAGCACAAGAAGCCCCGTGAAGCAATGTGCCCAGCACCATGGTGAAAAGCTGGTGCCCCAAGGCAATCTTCAGAGCCCCAGTTTTCATCTCTCAGCAGAATCCCCACCCTCCACTCCTGCTCAACAGTCTCTCATGTATCTGCTCCAGGTAGCAGCATGGACGGGTGTGGTCACCGGCTCCTGCCCTGAGTGCATTGGGAGACAAGGGGTAGGGACAGGCTGGTAGCTGGAGGGACAGAGAGAACCCAGGGTCTGCCTCTGCCCAGCAACCTCAATACAGAATCCCCTCTATTCATTACAGCTGAGACCACGAGTGAGAGTGGAGGAGCAGACCTCAAAGCCCATGTCTTCTATAGTCCAGCTGCCCGCCTCTGGCTGCTACAGAGGAAGAGATGAAACCGTGGTGGAATTTGCTGGAGAATTGTGCCCCCCCCCCCACCACACACACACACAGCGATCATGGCTGCAAATAAAGCAGGTGAGTTTTCGGATTAAATGTTTTTTCATCAGAAAATGCTGATTTGTCAAAACCAAAACTGTTTGCGGAGGAGGGTTGGTTTGAACGAATTTCCCGACTCAAAATACTTTCGGCAACAAGTTTCAAAATTGTTGCAGTATCCCATGTTGCCGCTTGCAATATGAAAAGTCCCACTCTAGGGTTTTTGGGTCAAAATTTCAGTTTGTTTAAAGAAAATAAAAGTATTTTTGTTTAAAAGGCTGAAATCAAAACAAGGTGTTTTGAAATTATTGAAAGAAACATTGCGCTTGTCCCAGTTTGCCTTTATTTGGGGGGGAAGCGGAGGTTGGTTTATGAAAAAAATTGAGATTTTGATTATTTTAGATCACTTTGGGACAGGGACATTTTGTGAAATATAACAATTCTTGCAGGCTGGGAAAACCACCAAACATAACCTTCAAACCGTGAACTAGGTGTAAAGCCACGTGGTGCCAGCTGCCTGAGTTTGCAGCGGGGAGAAGGGTGAATTGCCCCATGAACCCCATGGGGTGCTTATGCCCAAAGTTAAAAGCTAATGTACTCAATGCTTTTTTTGCCTGTCTTCACGAACAAGGTCAGCTCCCAGACCACTGCACTGGGCAGCACAGCATGGGGAGGAGGTGACCAGCCCTCTGTGGAGAAAGAAGTGGTTCTGGACTATTTAGAAAAGCTGGACGAGCACAAGTCCATGGGGCCGGATGCGCTGCATCCGAGGGTGCTAAAGGAGTTGGTGGATGTGATTTCAGAGCCTTTGGCCATTATCTTTGAAAACTCATGGCGATCGGGGGAGGTCCTGGATGACTGGAAAAAGGCTAATGTAGTGCCCATCTTTAAAAAAGGGAAGGAGGAGGATCCGGGGAACTACAGGCCTCAGTTCCTCACCTCAGTTCCTGAAAAAATCATGGAGCAGGTCCTCAAGGAATCAATTCTGAAGCACTTAGAGGAGAGGAAAGTGATCAGGAACAGTCAGCATGGATTCACCAAGGGCAAGACATGCCTGACTAACCTAATTGCCTTCTATGAGGAGATAACTGGCTCTGTGGATGAGGGGAAAGCGGTGGACGTGTTATTCCTTGACTTTAGCAAAGCTTTTGATACGGTCTCCCACAGTATTCTTGCCAGCAAGTTAAAGAAGTATGGGCTGGATGAATGGACTATAAGGTGGATAGAAAGCTGGCTAGATCATCGGGCTCAACGGGTAGTGATTAATAACTCGATGTCTAGTTGGCATCCGGTATCAAGCAGAGTATCCCAGAGGTCGGTTCTGGGGCCAGTTTTGTTCAATATCTTCATTAATGATCTGGAGGATGGCGTGGCTTGCACCCTCAGCAAGATTGCAGATGACGCTAAACTGGGAGGCGTGGTAGATACGCTGGAGGGTAGGGATAGGATACAGAGAGACCTAGACAAATTAGAGGATTGGGCCAAAAGAAATCTGATGAGGTTCAACAAGGACAAGTGCAGCGTCCTGCATTTAGGATGGAAGAATCCCATGCACTGCTACAGATTAGGAACCGAGTGGCTAGGCAGCAATTCTGCAGAAAAGGACCTAGGAGTAACAGTGGATGAGAAGCTGGATATGAGTCAACAGTGTGCCCTTGTTGCCAAGAAGGCTAACGGCTTTTGGGCTGTATAAGTAGGAGCATTGCCAGCAGATCGAGGGATGTGATCATTCCCCTCTATTCGGCATTGGTGAGGCCCCCTCTGGAGTATTGTGTCCAGTTTTGGGCCCCACACCACAAGAAGGATGTGGAAAAATTGGAAAGAGTCCAGCGGAGGGCAACAAAAATGATTAGGGGGCTGGAGCACATGACTTATGAGGAGAGGCTGAGGGAACTGGGATTATTTAGTCTGCAGAAGAGAAGAGTGAGGGGGGATTTGATAGCTGCTTTCGACTACCTGAAGCGGGGTTCCAAAGAGGATGGAGCTCGGCTGTTCTCAGTGGTGGCACATGACAGAACAAGGAGCAATGGTCTCAAGTTGCAGTGGGGGAGGTCTAGGTTGGATATTAGGAAACACTATTTCACTAGGAGGTTGGTGAAGCACTGGAATGGGTTACCTAGGGAGGTGGTGGAATCTCCTTCCTTAGAGGTTTTTAAGGTCAGGCTTGACAAAGCCCTGGCTGGGATGATTTAGTTGGGAATTGGTCCTGCTTTGAGCAGGGGGTTGGACTAGATGACCTCCTGAGGTTCCTTCCAAACCCTGATATTCTATGAATGTTAAAGATGGCAATTTAAATGACATTCTTCACCATCTCACTTGCCATCTGCAGGATGCAGCATAAAGGCTGAAATGAATGTGGCAGTTCACACCTCTCCGAGTTATTGTTTCAGACCCCCCCCCCCCCCC